ATTTAAAGCTGACTAGGCCTAAAAGTTGTTTTCCTCTCCAGTCAAGTTGCATCAGTTTTATGGATGGTGCAAAGTTGACCGGAAAAATATGACACCTTTGAGGCTTATGTTAGTTGACTGATCAACATAATCTTATCAGTAATGGTCTTTGGATTATTTGAATGGCACCAGTCATAAGAAAGAGCAGTTTTGCTCATAGGTATCTTTTTCTCTTATTGTTATAAAGTAGATCTTGGCCTTCAGTGAAAACAATGCCCATATTGATTTAATTTTTATTGTGGGAACTGTACCTAAAAAATAATAGTGATATAAAAAGAGACTAATTTATATTTTCTTACATCTTTTATGGTTCAAGGTGGAAAACAGATGAAACACCTGTGTTTACTGAAATGACTAAAAAAGTACATTTTGATCAGGCAAGGGTGATATATGCTAAAGTGGTCTTTTAAATTGTAAAGCATTACCCATGCATACAGCGTTGCCATAACCTGAGCACAGGCTGTTTGGGAGTCTCCTCTAACCTTCACCCCACATGTTCCTGTTTTATTGGAGGAGACCATGAAGCTGAGGCAGAGGCCAGAGAAAAGATGGATTCAGTGGCAGGTGCTAGTTTTGAACTGGCTTCTTGGATATCTCTTTTCCTTTGAAATATTTTACAGTCTCTTATCTATCGATCCCATAATTTATATATTGTTTACTCAAATAAAACACTCAAATGGTAGGCTTTCTTTTGGCTGGTAACTGAGCAATGAGTATTGACAATGATTAGTGACTAATGTGTAGTAATCTGTAGTACAGAAAACTCTTTCCACTACATTAACCCATGATTCTATCAACAGCCTGTGGGGAGTGGCATTTTTCATCTCCTTTGTAGAAATAAAGAATGCCAGAGATAAATATGATTCACCCTTGATTTCATCCCTAGTAGTGGCAGATGCAAAAATTGAATGCAAAATCATGAGTTCTTCATAGCACCCCACACAACAGATAGTTTTGGCTCATTTCCATCAATGAAAAATGTTGTTCAATATTTGACTCATCATTAGCACATTTATTAGGAGACTGAGAAAAATAGAAAACCAGATGAAACTCAAATTGCTCATTTGCTCTCTTTGAATGGAGAAGATTAAAATCTCTATAATGTGAATACTTGGATTGCCCATATACTGCTATAATAGTTTTTTTCTCAAGTTTTTGTTTTTTTAAATATAGGGATGGGGGGTTGTGAGGAGGGGTGCTCAGTTTCCTTGTTTTTTGTTTGTTTTTTCTTTTGTTGCGACAAGAGTCACATTCTGTCACCCTGCATAGAGTGCAGTGGTGATATTGTAGCTCACAGCAATCTCCAACTCCTGGGCTCTAAGTGATCCTTCTGCCTCACCTTCCCCAGTAGGTGGGACTACACGTGCTTGCCACAGCGCCTGGCTAGTTTTCCTTTTTTTCTTTTTGATAGAGATAGAGTTTCACTCTTACTCAGGATAGTCTTGAACTGCTGAGCTCAAGTGATCCTTCCGCCTTGGCTTCCCAGAGTGCTAGCATTATAGGCATGAGCCATCATGCCTGGCCATACTGCTATAATCTGTGAAGCTAAAAACTGATTATAATTTATAAAAAGCAAGGAACAGTGTTTTTCTTTATCAAATGTGTGGTTACTGTATGACCAACCTTCTGACAGATAACGATTATAATGCTGAACAAAACATAAAAATCAACTATCTATAGGTAATGGAGAGTGATAAAAACCAAACAAAAACTAAAGAGGAGTCTGCACTTGGAAGAAAAGTGAATTTTTTGTTTTTATGGCTTTGAAAAATGTACACACTAGTCTACACTACATAGGTCAACTAAAGCTCATGTTTAGAGCAGTATGACTGGCTTGAACTAACATAGATCAGAGTTGGGGTGACCATGGCAGCTGGAAAGTGAGAGGGGGAAACTTAGAAGGGATTATGTGAGAATAGAAGCTTCAAATTCTGCACATATACTGTCCAAATCTCTGGATGACCTCAAAATTATGCATGTGTAGTTCTGATTTTAAGCAGTTTAATTAAGATTAAAGAAAAAAAACAAAACTGAACAAAAATTTCAGCTGCCATCTACCACAGAGAAAATAATCATTTGGAGTTTTATTTCATCCAAGCTAACTGCCTGATAAAACAAAACAAAAATACTCTTTGAAGTAATATAACAGAATACAGAGATTCTATCATTCATAATTTCCAGGAGACACTCCAAAATTACTAGGCATATGAAGAGACAAGAAAAGGCAATTAATGGAGAATGACTCAGAGATGATCCAGGTATTAGAATTTGCCTACAAGAGTTTAAAGCAGCTATTGTAACTATGATCAAGTATTTTAAGGGACATAAACTCTTAATGAATGAACACATAGGAAATTTCAGTAGAGAAATAGAAACTGTAAAAAAAAGAACCAAATAGAAATTCTAGAACTAAAAAATACACTATGTAAAATTGTATTTCATATGGACTTAATAGCAGTTTGAAGTTGACAGAAGAAAGAACCAGTAAACTTGAAGCTAGAACAGTATATATTATCAAATGTGGAGAACAGAGAGAAAAAACACTGGGGAAAATGAAGTAGAACCTAAAGGATATGTAAGACAATATCAAGAGTTTCAACATTTTAAAAATTGGAGCATGAAAAGGAAAAAAAGAGAGAATAGTAAAAAAAAAAATGTGAAAGAACAATAGCTGAAAATGTCCTAAATTTGGTGAATGTTATAAATTTACAGATTCAAGAAGCTTAGCAAAATCTAATCAGGATAAATACAGACATATATTAATAATAATCGAACTGCTAAAAACTAAATATAGATAATCTTGAAAGCAGTCAGAGAAAATGAGACATTACATACAAGTTAGGACCAATTTGAATTATTGTTGACTTCTCATAAGAAACAATGAAAATCAGTTGACAATTGATCATTTTTAGAGTGCTGAAACAAAACAAAACACCTGTTAACCCAGAATTGTATATTCATTGATTCTTTTATTCATTTATTTATGTTTGAGACAGGGTCTTGCTCTGTCACCCTGGGAAGAGTGCAGTGGCATGGCATCATCATAGCTCATTGCAGTATCAAAGTCCTGGGCACAAGCGATCCTCCTGCCTCAGCCTCCCAAGTAGCTGGGACTATAGGTGTGTGCCATGATGCCTGACTAATTTTTTCTATTTTTTGTAGAGACAGGGTCTCATTCTTGCTCAGGTTGGTATCAATCTCCTGAGCTCAAGCCATCTTCCCACCTTGGTCTCCCAGAGTGCTAGGATTATAGGTGTGAGCCACAGTGCCCAGCTCTAACCACTGATTCTTAAAGGATTAAGGTGAAATAAAGACACTTTAGCTTAAGGAAAATCAAAAGAATCTGTAGATGAATCTTCAACAGACTTTCACTGAAAGGTGATGGGAAATAACACCAGGTAGGAATGAAGAGCACTGGAAATAGTAACTACGTGAGTAAATAGTAAAGACCATTTTTTCCCTTTTATTTCTTTAAAATATATATGACTATTTAAAGAAAAATTGTAAATTTTTTTTGGTGTGAGATTTATACCATATATAAATGTAATATGCATCAAAACTATAACATAAAGGGCCGAGAATTGGCAAATGGACCTAAATAATTGTAAGGGTCTTATATTTTACATGGATTGTGACAATTTAAGGATGCATATTATATTCCCTACAGCAACACCATAGCTAGGAAGCTCATAAAACAGGATTATAAAATATATTTATTCACTTAAAAGATGGCAAAAAAGGAGGAACAGAGGAACAAAAATCAGAGGGTACATACAGAAAACAAATAATAAAATAGTGGACTTAAATTCAACCATTCAATGATTATATTAAATGTAAATGACTAAACATTTGAATTAAAAAGCAAGGGATGAGGATAGAATTTTAATTTAAATAAAAACAGGAATCAAAGAGATTTTAGGGTAATGACTTTGGTTTTGATTATAAAAGTTGTTGAATTCTAAACTAACTACTCATGAAATTGTGTAGGTTCTCAGGTTTCTTGATTGGTTTAAGTGTAGCCTTCCTTTATAACAGGGATACATAATCTCTAGAAAATATCCTTAAATTCATAACTGCCCCCAAATTCTCTCATGTCTTTTGCTATCAATCTTTCCCCTGACATTTGCTCCCTAAACTTGGCACATACTGATCTAGGTTGTCACTTTGTTAGTTTGCATTTTTTAGAATTTTCTATAAATGGAATCATATAGTATGTACTCTTTTGTGTCTGGCTGCTTTTGCTTAACATGTTTTTGAAACTTATCCAAATTGTTATATGTATTAGTAGTTTGTTCCTTTTTATTGTTGAATGGTATTCCATTGTTTCAATATACTACACTTTGTTCATCTGTTGATAAATGTTTGGATTGTTTCCAGTTTTAGCTATTATAACATGATTGCTATCAACATTTGTAAGCAATCCTTATGTGGACATATGTTTTCATTTTTCTTATGCAAATAAATGTCTAGGGGTAGAATGTCTAGATCATTAGGGTAGGCATATGCTTGCAAGAAACTTCCAAATTGTTATACAAAGTGATTTTACCATTTTACACTCCCACCAGAAATGCATAAGTTCCAATTGCTCCAAATCTTTAATGATACTTGAGATTGTCTGTCTTTTGTTTTTTTTAAAGCCATTCTAGTGGATAGGTGGTAGTTTCTCACTTTAAAATTCACATGCCCAAATCTTTGAATTCCCATCCTGCCTCTATCTTACAAGCTACCACCCACTTTGTTTTCACCTTAAAAAAATCAATAATATAATACACAAAAAACTAGCAATAAAAAACCAAAACAAATCATTAATTACTTATCATTCTCCTAACCTTACAATGTAAGCTTCACGAGAGTAAGATCTATCTTGTTCTTTGTTGTATTCTAGTACCCGGCACAATGCCTGGTGCATGGTATGTACATTTATTAGTTATCTGTTACTATGTAATGAATTACTCCAGATCTTAGCAGCTTAAACCAACAAACATTTATTGTCTTACACAGTTTCTGAGGGTCAAGACTGGGGAGCAGCTTAGCTGAGTGGTCTGGGTCACGATTTGTCATGAGGTTTCAGTCAAGCTATTACTGCAGTCATTCGAAGACTTGACTGGGGCTGAAGAATTGCCTTGCAACATGGCTCACTTATATGACTATTATCAAGAAACCTCAGTTCTTTGATAGCTGTCATCAGCAGCTATCCTTATTCCAGCAGCTCCAATTCCTTACCATGTGGACCTCTCCACTGGGCTGCTCAACATGGCAGCCGGCTTCCCCAAAGTAAGTGATCTGAGAGAGAAAAACATGTAAGTTGATTACACAGACCAACCAGGAGATGTGGAATGTTGGAGATCATCCTGGAGGATAGCTAAAATAGTACATAATGAATATTTATTGATTAGACTGATGTGTCTGATACCCTTTTAAGCATTTTACATATGTCATCTCATTTAATCCTGATAACAATACCATGGACTATTGTCCTCATTTGACAGATGATAAAACTGAAGCTTATACAAGTTAAGTCCAATTCTACAAAGTTATTAGGTGTTATAGTCGGAGTTCAAACACAGATTTCTTTAGTGCCAAAGGCTATGAAAAATGGTGCACAATAAAAAGGAATAAAAGGATTACATTATTTTAAGGAGAACTTGATTCAGATGACCTTTAAAGTTTTGTTTATATTGAGCCAAACTCATTTGTATATGGGGAAAAAACCAGAAATTACATCAAATGGGAAACTCTAAAATTCTTCAGGTGAATAAAAAGTTAATTGGCTCTCTATTCCATAGATGACAAAGTGTTGGTTTCATTTTTTTCTCTCTTACTACACAGTTTCAAATTCTTGGCAGATTCTTGGAAACAAGTCAAGGATTCTGCCACTAACTACCCAGAGAGTTAATTCAAAAAAAATCTTTTGATCGTGTAGTGTGCATACAGCACTGTGGTAGTTTCTCAGATCTAGAAAGCAAGTGAGACAGTACCTGTTTGTAAGAGGCCACAATCTTTGGGACTAATGTGATACAAAAATAACAACACAGAGAAGCTTAAGCATCATTACAAGGCACAATGAATGCTTACTGAGGTTTGAATTTTCAAAAGACCAATCTTTAAAACACATTTCATGTTTATTAGGATAATTTAATGTGATAATGTCTGGAAATCAACATTAAACTAAGGGAGTCAGCCTCCTTCACTTTAATTTTTTCGAAGCAAGTTGGAAAACTCACAAAGAGGGTGACTTGCTCACCTTTCCACAAGTCTCTCAGTCAGGAACCACAGTTTTCTATGAAGGGTGGCAGAAAATCAGCCTTACCATGTTTCTGGAATGCAAGAATGAAGGAAGAGTGGTGGAAGTTCAAAGTCCAGGTAGGCTTCCATGGGAATGTAGGAATCACATCGGGACAAACAAAAGAGAGAGTAGAGTGGGTAGGGCAACAGGAGTTTAAGGATTGACTGGAATGAAAGAGTTAAGGTGACAATGCTGGGATAGAAAGGAAAGTGGGATCCCTCCTTACCGACAGGGAAGAAAGAAGCCCTCCTAGTGGAGTTGAAATGACAAAGTGTCCCCCTTCCCCATTTCACCCTGGGAAATTGTCCAGTGACAGTTGGAACTGATGGAAGAGCCTAAGGAGCCTATAGATACAGAGTATGTGCAAAAACTAGTTTCAGACCAAACTTTTTCCCTGGCCACTGCGCATGCTCAGCTTTGCTGCAGAAATGTAAACTCCGTGGCTCCAGATTTTAGCTCTGGCAGTTCGAGGGCGGGAGTGAAGAGCCGGAGTGGTTTCGTGGCAGAGTCCACAGGTGGAACCTGCAGTTTGAGTAAACTTGACCAGGAGGGTGTGAGACGAAGGGGCAGCTGGGCGTGGAGTCAATGGAAATTCATCAATGTGATTGGCCTTGAGCTGATCGGTAACCCTCCGTGAAGGACTGAGTTTGGTTATTCGGAGATGGGGATTGCGGTGCAAACAGTTAAAGAAGACAGGCAGGTCAGGGTTGCGGCCGAGGTCCAAGGGGAATGAGACGGGGGCCAGGGAATGGTCGTTACCACCCAATAGTGAGCTCCCAGGTCCTCCCCGGCTACTCCTTCTTGGGCTGTAAGGGGCAGGGAATTGCAGCAGAAACGCAGGAGCCGGTGGACGCGGCTCACCTGGCTTCCTCGACCTGCCCCTCTCTCCGCACCAGCTTGCACTAAGTCGCCAGGGGCCAACATCTGGCCCGGCTGGAACCGGCCCAGAAACTCACCTCAGCCAGCTCGTTTCTGCTCTAGGGCTGCTGGCCGGGAGCATCCACATCTGTGGGAATGTCGCAAACTCCCCGCCTCAGATGCTTTCGGCGGCACGGGGAGGGAGCCTGCCTCGCACTGTGTGCACACACTGCGGTGGCCGAAGCCTGCAGGCGCTGCCCGGGCGCCGGCGGGCACGGCAGGGCCGGGAGCGCGTGCGGGGCCGCTGCGGGCAGCGAGCTCACAAGCAAGCCGGGAAAGTAGCACCGAGGGCGGGGAAGCACCTCACACCCTCCCACACCGAGTCCCGTAGCTCCAGGCGCCCACGCCGCGCAAGGTACGCTCCGGGGCGCAGTCCCGCCTGACCCCGGAAGAGAAAGTTTTGGGGAAGGGGAGCAGGGAGAAGCGAAGGGAGCAAGTGAAGTAAAACTAAACATCCAGTTGTTCCGCTCCCCTCAGGACGCCCATGCCCCGCCTCATCTTTGCCCCAAGCCCCCCTCAGAGGTTGGCTTTCTCCACAGGGCGCGACGCCCCCGCGGGCCTCCCGCCCAGCCAGAGCTAGAGGGCAGCGAGCGGCCAGCCCGCGGGGCTCCCGACCCTCCGCGGATGCAAGTCGCCGGGAAAACCCGGAGCGGAGCGTCCCCCCGGCCGGGAAACGCCCTCCGCGCGCGCCCACTAGCGCGCATGCTCAGTGAGCGCGGCGGCTGCGGCGGCGAGTAGGAAGCTCCGCGCGGCGGCGGCGGCAGCAGCGGCGGCTGGAGGGTGGGAGGGGACGCGCCGGCTGGCGGGCGGGGGCGCTGGGACGCGGCGGGGGCTCCCGCCCAGGGCTCTCTGGAACGTTGGCGGCCGCGAAGCTCGGCGCGAGCAGCGCGTGAGCCGACGAGTCCACAACGAGCGCGGAGCGGGCAGCAGGCGGAGCGGCGCCGCCGGGCAGAGCGGGCTCGGAGCCCGGGTCTCCGCGGCGGCGGGGGCGGCGATGTTCCACTGCATCCCCCTGTGGCGGTGCAACCGTCATGTGGAGACCATCGACAAGCGCCACTGCTCGCTCGTCTACGTCCCCGAGGAGATCTACCGCTACGCCCGTAGCCTGGAGGAGCTGCTGCTGGACGCCAACCAGCTCCGCGAGCTGCCCGAGGTGAGTGTCCGGCCTCACCTGCGCGCCGCCGCCGCCCTCCCGGGGGCCCCGCCGGCCCTCGCCCACTCTTCTCTCCCTTCCCCTCCCTGCTCTGTCGTCCCCGCTCCCACCTCCAGGTCCCGGCCGGCCGGCCCGGCTGGAACCGCCGCTTCCTGCATTCACCTGCTTCTTCCTCCCCGCGTCGCTCCACCTCCATCCTCCCCCTGTAAAAAGTTCTTTTTCATTTTATACGAAGCGACTTGATGTTTTTCCAAGTCGTCGCTAGCACTGTGCGATAGGAGAAACGTCCCGGACTATTAAGTAGCTTCGGTAGACAGACGTCTGGATACCGACACACCTGGCACTTGTGCCCGGGCAGGTAAGAAGCCAGGTGGTTCGGGCTGTTGCCAGCTGGAGGCTTCTGAGCACCGATTGGGGGAGGGGGGCGTCCCCCTCCCCCCGGCGTTCCCCGACCACTGGCCGGGGCGCGACTGTCCTTTGGCCAAGGCAGGTCCGGGAGGACCTTGTGACCTGGGCAGCGCGCAGGCGAGCCGCAGTATCTGGTCATCTTGGGAGGAATGTGTTTCGGGCCTTATCGCGGGTGGTGGGCTGGGCCGGCCGGCCTGCCGTGGCTGGGTAGCGGGGTGGCGGCCGCGAGATGGGGGTGCAGGGTTCGGGGAACTGGGCCTGCGAGCTGGGGACAGGTGCGCAGTTGCCCGCCCTCCGTTCGGGCTCTCGTTGCGGGGACCTGTTGCGTGGTGGGAGCCGCGGCGAACGTCACCGGAGGCTCTGCCCGCGGGCCAGCCTTGCAGCCGCCTCTCCCGGGGCGGCCACTGAATTCTGCCCTTGCGGTGATGCGTTACCTCTTCAGGATTGTTTACGCAAATTAATCGCTCCTCTGCGGTCGAACTTGTCTGGCTACGTGTGCTGATAGTGCTTTAACAGAAGGGTTGCAGGGGGTAGTGGTGGGGGGGACTGGGAACTTTCAACCTTTGAGCTTGCCTCTGGAGTTTGGCTTGAATAACCCTTAAAGGAGGAAGGTATCCCGGACCCAGGTGTGTGCAGGAAGTCAGTGTAATAATCCAAAGGTGTGCAGGAAGTAGGGAGACTGCCGGGAGTCGGGTAGAGAGAGAGGAACTGATGAAGGCCTGAGCGTCAGAACTCAGATATCTTGCTTGTCCTGTAGTTGACACAAGCCAAGTCATTGTCACAGAGACATTAGTGAAATGTCCTGGCTTGTTAGAATGACCTGATCATTCTATCAGCGCCGACAGAGTGTTTTAAAAACCAGAACTGTGTGTTTTTCTCTATATTTTTTCTCAATATTTGTTATTCTTCTTGGATTAATTTTCTTTCCTTCGTGTGGAATTGATTGGATGGTTTGCTCCATGTAATCACAGAGATATTTAGCCCTAGGATCTTTGCAAAGCCCCCCAGGCTTTAATTTAGCTTAGAAGCAGAAGAGCCATCCAGTTCTCTCAGGCTTTTTATTACTTTGCAGGCATTTTCAAACACATGATTTTTGTCTGGCCTTTAGCTTCCTTAAATTTGTCTTAACAGTTATAAGCTGTTTGAAATGGTATAATTTTAGGCTTCGGTATCACCGGCAATATAGAATGTGTAATTTAATACTTTTCAAGGGCTTCAGATTGAAGTTATTAGAGATTGAGTGAAAAGTTATTTAACTAGAAATATTTCATTGCTCTTTGTGGTATTTGCTTTCTTTTGTAGAACTGGAAGATTTCTTTTGACTGGATTGGCTTTTCACTCCCTTCTGCAGAGTTTCTGGGTTTTCCTGTAATGGTGGGGAATTCAGTTTGGCATGGGAAATTATGGGTTTTGGAAGTGTCAGGTATTTCTACTGATTCTAAATGGGAACTTCTCAGAAGCCCCAAATACAGTCTGATGGAACTCTGTAAATACGGTAAATAAGCTTTTCAAAGGCCAGCGGTGGTCTTGCTAATGGGTGATTATTGCTCTGATAGCTCTTAAATTAGTATTAAAGTCTTTAGGTTGTGTACAGTCTATTTCTGCCTGACTTATGGTGTGTCTGGATGCCTGAGTGTTCATGCCAGACATGAACAGCCTTGAAAGCACAGGTATTTGTTTCATTCAGTCTTTCCTTGGGCTATCTGTTGTTTCACATCTGAGATCTGTATAACTCATTACCACTGCTCACTGCTACCCTGCCCCCAACCCCCTTCTCCTAACATGCCACAACTCCAGTGGGTCTCTTTTGCTGGCGAACCTCAAAGGTCCTTATTTTGGTGGCCACACTAGCTGTGTATTATCTCCAAAATCTCTTTGAAAGCACAGCTAAAGGGGAAGTCTGCACCCGGTATCAGCAAAGATAGACACTCCGGGCTTCAGGGTAATGACAAACACCTTCTCTCCACTGGAAGGCCTGAGACCTCTGGTTTGCACCAACATCCTCATTTTGCAAATTGAGATTCAGAATTGTAGTGACCTTCTCAGGGCTATCCAGCCAGTTAGATGCAGCTGCTGGTTGCATTCATTCAGGTGTCAGCCAACTGCAAGTGCTTCAGACACTCAGCAGGAATCTGGCCTATTCCAGTTCTCACACCCATCAAACCTTCAGTTATTCAGTCCCTCCTGTTTTACTCATGCCATTAAAACTTGGCTTCAAACATTTATGGAGCCTCCATTATTTTCAAATTTATTGGGAATATAGAGATTCAAGGACATATAAGTTCTGTGAGCTGTTCACAGCTTGTATGGGGACAGATGACTTTAATATTGATGTGGTGAGTGTACAGTGGAAAGGGCACCACAGTTAGACTGCTCCTGAGCTGTGGACTTGATGGTACTTCCCTAATCTTCTAACTTTTTGCTGAACCTGCAGCACCGTCGTCAGTGATGGTTCAACCTTGTGATAGCCTCTCAACACTGCTGCTCTGCAGAGAAGGCTTCAGATCCCTCATTGTTGGTTTGGTCCCATCCATCCACTCCTCCCCGCTCCCTGCAGTTCGAGCCTTTTGGGATCTGGACTAACAGAGACATTCTCGCTTTAACTTTCTTGACGTGCCTGCGTGTTTTCACTCACATGTGTGAGCACAGATCCTCACCCTTATGGCACCCAGTAGGTCTTGTTCAATAAAGTTATTTATTTATTTATTTTGAGACAGAGTCTCGCTTTGTTGCCCAGGCTAGAGTGAGTGCCGTGGCATCAGCCTGGCTCACAGCAACCTCAAACTCCTGGGCTCAAGTGATCCTCCTGCCTCAGCCTCCCAAGTAGCTGGGACTACAGGCATGCACCACCATGCCCTGCTAATTTTTTTCTGTATATATTAGTTGGCCAATTAATTTCTTTCGATTTATAGTAGAGACGGGGTCTTGCTCTTGCTCAGGCTGGTTTCGAACTCCTGACCTCGAGCAATCCGCCTGCCTTGGCCTCCCAGAGTGCTAGGATTACAGGCATGAGCCACCGCGCCCAGCCTAATAAGGTTATTTATCTGTTGAATGAATGTTGCTGAGTCTTATAAAATTCCTCTTCTTCTTTCTCTTCCTTCAAAGCATATGCCAGAGCATATCACTGTTTTGGCATCTATTTCAGTGTAGTCAGAGTATTGAAGTTGGAAGTGACTTCAGAAGTAAAGATCATCCAAGTGGTGAGGTTTTGTCTTGCCTGCCCTGTGGAATCCTTGGTTTTCCTGTTACTTGGTGTTTCATGTGCCATTGGCTTTCTCCTCATCGTGCACTAATTCTCAGATACCTCCAAATGTGTGTTTTACTGTGATCTCTCTAGCACCAATACAGTGCCTCATGTAGTAGACAGCGTATATTGAATGTGCTCAAGCCTTCATAGCTTAAAAAAACTTCATCTTGTCACCTCCTCTCAGAGTTTAGCTGATCTTTTATTGATTGTCTGATGACATTATCTCAAATACTCTTTCCCTCCCATCATTCTATCTTATATCTTGCTTTCCCCCCCCCCCTAGCCTTTAGAGCACCTAACTCCAGATTATATATTTGCTTACTTGCTGCATGTGGGCAGAGGTGTTCCTGGCTGAACCTATGACAGCATTTGGTACAAAGTGGGCACTTAAGTGCTTGTTGTATGAATGAATCCTCATGTGTGTCCTCCTGGGTAGGCTGTCCCTGTTTCTTAGCTATTGTGATTCCTCTATTATAATTCCTCTGCCTATGGTCAGACTTTCGTACACCAGTGTGTTGAAACTAGTGATGACACAAAGACTTCTTTCAGAATCCAGTGGCCTTATCTTGCCGGTCTTTGTTCTCCATCCCCTCTCTGTGGTGGACACCTTTGACCACCTTATATTTGAAAGACTTTTTATGTACTGTAAACATGTTTTCTATGAATATGACTTCAAGCCCAACATCTCCAGCTGTCATCTGTTAAGGGGATAGCCATTCCCACTTGGAGTAAATCCCTTTTGCCTTAAACCAACCATGTTTTGATTTAGGTCTTCCAAACTGGCTTCTCTTCCCCCCCAGTTCCATTTCTTGGGGGGGGGCAGGACACACATTCTTTCTGTCTCAAAGGACTTGTCTTTGATCCTTCCTTCTC